TAACCCGAGTCTTGACGAGCTATGTCGGACGAGGACAAAATGAGCGAGCATAGATCCATAAAAGGTGGGTGATAAGGAAGGACGAGCCTGGATGATGTCCATCACCGGGGGCGATTTTAAAGGCAGAAATCATTCTCTTTTGGAGAGGCAGGATAATGGGAAGTGATATTCAAGATCTTCAGGTATGAAATTAATCTCAACTTTTATTTGCGGTCAAGTTCGACCGACACAATTTTGTGGTACATTGAACATCTCGGCATTCTTTTTTGGAGGAATGTTCATTATTTGAATATTTTGAGCGAAATGTGGATGAGATTGTGCTGTATATGGATATGTTTGGAATTATCATTCTAGTGACTAGCATAATGTGGAGCATCGAACAAGACCTGGCACGACTAAGGCTTTCGGGCTGGCCAGTTTCAATTCATCATAACTAATGAGCTTGATATTGGGAGTAATTCATCTCAAATTTCATTTGGTGCATTCGTTTAATGGTCATTTGTAGCTGCAGAGTATGATTTATTGTAATTGTTTGTTGAATTCATGGTTGTGTGAAATTCTGGTCGACTGTACATTGGAGTGGGTGTTTATGTGATTGCATATTGTGTTAAAGTGGTTTTCAGGTAAATTGAGGTGTGGTATAAAACCATGTGGACCAATGTGATAGCCTTGATTTATTAATCTATTGTCATGGTTGCTATCGGGATTGCAAATGGGATGATGTGGATAAAATACGACTAATGAAATTGTTGAATTCCTGCTGAGGAAAATACACGAACAGGAGGATTGGCTATCTACGTACACTGCATGGTTGCAATGAGGAGTGGACAGCGGGAAGTGAACGACAACACAGGTCGTCATGCACAAACATGAAAGGGAGGTCGATAAATATACTTGATTTATTTTATTTTGTTGGATATAACTATGAACTTGATGAGGCTAATGAGAATGATTAGTTACTATTCTATCTCGTGGTGTTTGGTGTGTTTTCTTGTCGACTTCAGTGGCAGGTCGAAGTGTTCGATCAGTTCGAAAGGGAAAAATCCACCATGACTAAGGCCTCCAGGCTGGGTGGTCGCATGTATCGACCACTCCTTCGAGGGTGGGCATGTGTTCGAAGACAAAAAATCCACCATGACTAAGGCCTTCGGGCTGGGTGGTCGCATGTATCAACCACTCCTTCGAGGGTGGGCATGTGTTCGAAGACAAAAAATCCACCATGACTAAGGCCTTCGGGCTGGGTGGTCGCATGTATCGACCACTCCTTCGAGGGTGGGCA